GACCTTTGACCTCCAATTTCGGCACAGTGATGGCTTTTCCTACCATGATGCTATACACCGACTATCACGAGCCGAACTGTTGCCGGACACACGGACGGACGCTCATACGATTCTACAAGCTTCATCTGACTATGTCAGATGAGCTAAAAACCCACCACACTACCAATAAATTAATAAAATATGTTCAGGTTTATTTGGGGCTGGATCGTAAGCGCAGAGAATATAGCGGTGCATGCATGCAGATATAATTATTATATAGACTGACAGCACAGTATACAGTGTATCTGTTTTTGTGTACTTCAGCAAAGAAAATTCTCATTCACATGTTGCAGTAGAGGGGCAAACATTTGAGGTTTGAGATTTACGCTGATCACGTAATGACGATGCTGGCCTGGGGGCCGGGTTTACATGTTGCTGTGTGCATGTTGTGTATATCACTGTATCCACCGATTGTTTCATTCGCATGTTTTTTTTCATTCAAATCTTGTCGCAGCAAGATGTTGTGTCTGTGCAAAACAATGCAAGGGATGGGTGGAAACAGAAAAATATCATGATGTTTAGACATTCAATGAAAAAAAATTGCTTGCCCAAACCAATTTCAAGCTACTTGCCCGGGGGAGGGGGGGGCGAATTTTGGTTGCCCCGGGCAACCGGGTTTGTCGCGCCCTGAGGAGTGTGCCGGCACGCAAAAAGAAACGTTGCTGTGAATTTCATTACGATTTTCCATGTAGTCAGAAGCACGTGGTGATCTATTTATTTTTGGATTGACACTATTTTGACAACAGCGGGTTAAACACAGGAACATTTTCACAACGGCGTTGTTAAATTTGACAACAGCGGTGCGCCGCAGTGCCTCCTATGTAACGTAAAAATAACTTGCAATAGCAATCATTTTCCATATGAAATCAAAATACAATCACATGTATCATCCCTTACGGTATGAAAACAATAAGGAGCATGCAGACAGAACACTTACCAACGATAAGCTGTTTGACACCAAGGGTGTAGGCAAGGAGGGCATGTTCACGAGTCTGGCCATTCTTGGAGATTCCGGCTTCAAATTCTCCAGTACCAGCAGCAACAATGAGCACAGCACAATCAGCCTACAAAATACAAATTTGACAGTTGTACACATCTAATCTAACATGAGATTATCGTTATTCCCACTTGCCATTAACAGCACACAGTATGGCTACAGTAACACCGCACCTTTGTTCGCAATTGTGCATGTACAACAAGTACTTCGCATCCAATGTATTCCAGGTACATCAGTGGCCGAAATAGCATGTCATCTAATCCAGGACTGGTAAGGCCATAATAAATATATTGTTTGTTTGCCCTCACCCGACCGACCCGCCAAAAAGGAGCAGACTCAAAAAAAAATTATCGATCTTTTTTTTAATCAAATTGTATCACTGCACATTATATAAATCTGTAGGCACTAGGCAGTACATTATATGTACCAAGCAAAAGAAACATTCAACATAAAGGGTGTCACTAGGCAGTACATTATATGTACCAAGCAAAAGAAACATTCAACATACAAGGGTATTCCACACAAGCCAGGAGTCGAAATTAGATTTTATATGGTATCCATTTGGATACCAGGTAATTGAAATCCTGGTATCCCCCGAAAGATCTGGTATCCATTCTTTTGCATAGTTAATTCTTCCAAAACAATGTTGTACACAAAATCTTAAAATCATGGCAATAATAGCAGTTTGAAATTGTAATGTAATTATGTATCAATCATAATCATTATGATCTCCACAGATATGCACAGGACAGTATCACCTGCAGACGTAATTGTCTGTTAGCTTGATACCAAATGATATACACACTCACACTTATGATCAACATCGGCTACGGCTGCGCTTTGCAAATATGCTCAAACAACCAGCTATGCCGATTTTGACGACATTTTCTTACTATTCCGCGGCGGTCAAATACGCAAGCATATGAAACTCTGGTATCCAACACAAGGAATGACTATCCTGCGGATATCCGGGAGATACCGCTACTTTCGACCCCTGCCAACCAACACACCGAGGCCTGGATAGCATCACCCCAAATTTGTAAAAAAGACCTCAAAAAAAGCAACCTACCTACCTACCCAAATTTTCAGTCTGGGTCGTTGAGGGCAACAAAGATTTTTTAATTGTCGCTAACTAATAACGCATTCAGCCAGGCCACCAGAATTTACATGATGGGGTTACTATACGGTATTGGTTTTACAATAGAAATAATAATCGTTCTCCCGGCAAAACTGTCTGCATTCCCAATACCTATAGTAAACCCCATGTAAATTTGGTATGTAACCGACATGAAGCTCTATGCAATATTAACAACACGATACCTACCTGGGAGGTTCCTGTGATCATGTTCTTGATGAAATCACGATGACCTGGCGCATCAATAATGGTGACGTAGTACTTTGGTGTCTCAAACTTCCAGAGAGCAATATCGATTGTGATACCACGTTCACGCTCAGCCTTCAGTTTGTCCAGCACCCAGGCATACTTGAAAGAGCCCTTACCCATCTATAAAAGGAAACACCAAAACGCTCATTAACCAAACAATCTTCAATGTCATGTTTAGATACACTTACACAGATTTTCAACATTCACACGAAACTGTGACAGAGACTCCACCAGTCAGCAATGTTAAAACATACTAGTAAGCTACACTGTCTAACACACCGTCTAGTTGGCGAGTTAACCATGTACAATGAAACCTTGGAAAAACATCCTTGGGATGAAATTTCATGATCTAACAAAAACCTTTTCATATGCTAAAATCCCGTTCATTTTTGCAATTAGGCTATTCCAACTATGGCTTTTCTGATTTATTCAGAATATTACGAGCATATTAAACAGCTTGTAAAACATTTTGCTATGCAAAGACCTGTGGCGTTGACAGGAACCTTATACAGACCAGAAACCATTCCCCACAAAGATGAAAACAGAACAGGTCTTACCTCCTGGGCCTCTTTCTCAAACTTCTCAATGGTACGCTTGTCAATACCACCACATTTGTAGATGAGATGGCCAGTAGAGGTAGACTTTCCAGAGTCTACGTGGCCAATCACCACAATGTTGATGTGCATTTTTTCTTTGCCCATGATGGAAGATGTTGCTGCAACCAATCTGTGCACCTTTATTTAACTGAAATTACAACAAGTTCAACTTGAACCAAATGTTTTCTAAACAAGTTTAGAAAGATTGTACACCACCACTATTTCTTGCACGAAACAAAAGAAGGGCTCATTGGATACCGTATCCAAACAGGTCTTAACCTCCCATACCAATTAACTAACCAGGAGACCACTTGACACTATAGGGGTAAACAAAGAATCATTAAACATGCCATGTGGCAGTCTGGTTCACTTATTGGTTGACACGGCAGTGTTAATAGCACCCCCCCCCCATCTTGGTCAATGTAAAAGGTGATGAGAAAAGCAAGCAAAGGAATAAATGTACAAATTAATAAATATAACTTTATAAGTAACGTTGAGAAACAGATGAGCAACAAACATGCAAAATGTGAAATATCGTTAATGGAGGCTTCAGACATTAGAATCGAGACATCATATGTGCACAAAACGGCAGTACTCAGACATATGCTTGTCAAGTTCTTCCTCATCATTACCCCACAAAAACAGTTGATGACCATATACGGAGTTCGGATGACTCTGCTATAAGGGTAGACACGGTAGACAAACAAGAAATCGCTACAGTAAAGACATGAAACAAATCTTTTCCAATACGATAGCACACCACAACTAGCGAGCTAGACGAACACGTTTACCGGCAAGGTAATGTTTTGGTCGCAATAGGAGTTGAACCAAAAAAGGTTTTGTTATAATTTACTCACATACGATTACAATATTATTCCCTTGTAGTTAAGAGCACTATTAAAGATTAGCCATTCTGGTAATTCACTCAGAAAGTCGACTTTGTAATGTGTTCACTCTACCAAAATGGCCGACTGTGGGTTTACATGTAAACGAAATTATGTTCACTCGCCCAGTTTTCTGTTATTCTCACAGAAACGCCACATGAAACTGCTATTGACGAATGAAACCAACGCTGTTTTTAAGACTAATACAAACTAGTTATTTTTTAAGATGGCTTTGTTTAACCCTAAGAAAGACAGATGCTAGTAAGAAATGCTAAAAAGTGAGAACACATACCAACGACGACCGTGCCACGCGTAAAAGAGGAACCGGCTAAGTACGTCACCAACTATATATATGTCTTGTGGAGGGGTCTCACAATTTACGTCACCAACCGCGATTGCCCCGGCATTTCGCAACGCTCTGCTGTTCCTTTCTGTTACGTTACCCCCTGTCGCATATTATTGTGCATATATATAACGTCTTTAATTGCATTCCAGGCATGTTAGGTTTACGTGAGTACATTTACATATTATTACTAAACGAAGCATTTTATTTGTTAATTCAGAGTTAGATGTGTTATTAGGGGTTTTCAATAATATATGAAGTATTAGTTGGGATGGCTGACATCAAATATATCAGCGCAAGAGGGCAGCACTAACGGAGAAATGGCAGCGTCCATGCAAAGTCTGATAGGGTTGGTAAAGCACTCCGTCCCGGCATGTGAACAAGTAGGTTTCGTCAACCCCAACAATGCGGGTGGTCGGGTGCTTGTCTAATATAAGCCCTGGCGGTTTAATGCGTTCTGAAATCAAAAAGAAAGATTTCAGGTTACACCCCAGGTCACGTGTTTAAACTAATTCAGTAATTCATAATTTTAGGGGGGTCCGGGGGGCGTGTATTTTTACCGTACGACTAATTAATGCGTAAAATCGCCACCACACCATGGACGGTATTTGGGGTTCTTGTATATAAGATAGCCGAGTCGGTGTACAGTTAGTGACAGGTTAACTGTGCATTGTCAGGTTAACTTGTGTACTGTCTGCAGTGCATGCGTGGTACGGTAAAAATACACGCGTCGGTGGTCCTGGTTGAATGGGAATTCTTGACGATCGATTCCCTCGCTGGCAAACTTTTATTTTGGTGGAATTTAATCGGGGCGGAGGTATTTTAAACGGGGCGCAACGATTGAAACAGGTGGGGGGAGTTTTCCCAAACGGGGCGCGCGCGCCCCGTTTGCGCAACGTAGGGAGAACCCTGTAATGGGTTTCCTGCCCATCACACTATACACCGAATATTAAGAGCATAGGTCGAGCCGTTCAGATTTGTGCCGCAATTCCGTATTTCCTCCCATACCTTAAGTTAAGGGGGAAATATTCCACCTCCGTTAACACATCTTGACCTTTGACCCTTGACCCCCAAATTGGCCATACGGAGTCTTTTTCACGATCCCCCCCACGTCCCAAATATCGTCACCGTACGTCGAGCGGTTAAGATTTGTGCCCAACTGTTGACGGACGCACGGACAATCATGCGATTCTACAAGCTGCATCGGACTTCGTCAGATGAGCTAACAAGTGCCGCGGAGCGACAGCGCTCATCTAACGTCTACTGCGGTGACTCTGTGGTGGAGTGGTGGGATTCTAGTAAACCCTGTTAGTCCTAAATGTGTTCACATATGCGCCGAAACAGTGGAAAGCACAGGGATGGTATCAGGAACCTTCTCAAACGAATGTTCGTTGGGATCGTTATGAAAGTTGCCACGAGATGGCGCGTACGTTTAAGTGTCTTAAGATTAAAGATGTAAGCTCCCATCGTACGTAGTAGCAACAACTATTTGCAAGACAGAATAGGCAAGCACTCTTTTTTTTACCTACGCAAGCCTACAGGTTGAAATAGAGCGCTGCCACCTGTAACTAATTAACGCAGGCAAAAACTACACAGTACTATCACCACCACATGCACTGGCATAAGTTACATGTAACACACTGAAAGTACAGAATGCCATAGAAATTATACGATTTAAGGAGCATAAACCTTCTCCAACCAAATTTAGCTTTTACTGTGACATTGTAGCCTCATACATCCAGGCATGTATAGATTCTACTAGCAAACCCCGCAGTCAAATTCTTTCTAACAGTAAAAACGAATCAATGTTTAACCCTCCTCTTGAGGGTCAAAAGGTTATCCGACACTTACTCTTCGCATGTCAGTAGAAAGTACATTTCATGGTCCTTTCAATAAAGCCATAAAAATGCTAGGTCACCGCTGAAACAAAAAAGTTTCCCAATCGCTCCGTCAGACCATGTCTAAAATCTGCCCTGTTCCCCATTGACCTTTGACCTGTGACCTCAAATTTTGGCACAGTGATGGCTTTTCCTACCATGCTGCAACACCCGACTAAACGAGCCAACTTTGCCTGACACACGACGGACCTCAGACGATTCTACAAGCTTCATCCTGACATGTCAGATGCCGCTAACAAGTGCGCCGCAGCAGCGACAGCGCTCACCGAACGGTCAGGTGTTCTGAAAAGCTAAACTCACTGAGCCACAACGAATGAAGAGCACCGTCCCATCCCGCGTTCGTGCTCAGAGCTAATATCTAGATACCTAATACAGATCTAGAAATCTATGATAGCAGCTTTGCTATAACCCGGTAGTACAGTATATCAAGATCCAGCTGTGACTCGCTATACTTAACATAGTTATCACATGGATATGTTCGAGCGCAAGAGCGTATGGTGAGTGTGGGGAGAGGGGGGAGGAGGCGTAGAAGTCTCTAATAGCAAAAGGCAGTTGCGCGAGATAACGCGCAAGTGTCATCAAATAATCAAAGATGGGATCACCCTTCGTGCGTGATAACCCAACTCCATGAGTGCAGGCAGGGCAGGAGTATATTCAGGCAAAGGAGAATTTCGCCGTTCAGACTGCGTAGTTAACATCATCTGCATGCAGTTATATGATTAGAAAATTATGAGTAGAATATGCTGTCACCCCAATGCATTCGTAATGGTGCCCCCCATGTTGCCACACACATCGAGCAGTCCAGGTTCATTACAGTGTCCAATACCGGGCGACCATCTGTCATAAGAGACGCTTTAGATAAATACATATGATTTAGGAGCGTAAAACCTTGTCAACAACATTGCCTTGCAATTACTGTGCAACTGTAGCCCCCATCCACATCAGCAAAAGCAGTTCAGCGCCTATCGGTCTAACAGTCAACAAATCCATGTTACCCTCCTCGTTGAAGGTTCAAGAAGGTTATCCGAACACTTACATCTTCGTCAATGTCAGGCAGAAAGGGACATTCCTGTCCTTCATAAAGCCATAAAAATGCTAGGTCACCGCTGAAACAAAAAAGTATTCATCGCTCCGTCAGACCATGTCCCTCAGAAAATGTCTAACACTGCCCCTGTGCCCATTGACCTTGACCTGTACCGTCCAATTTCGGCCACAGTAGCTTTTCCCTACCATGATCTATAGCAACCGACTATCACGAGCCTAGGTCGAGCCGTTAGATATTGCCCCGCAATCTGGCTATTCCTCCTATAACTTAAAGTAAAGAGTGAATGTTCCCCTTCTTTTACCATCTTGACCTTGACCTTGACCCCCGCAGCTTCGACATCCAACTCGTTTTGACGATACCGCCCACCGCCCCAAATATCGTGCCCGTACTCGAGCGTAAGATTTGTGCCCCAACGTTTGAACGACGGACGGCACGACCGGGACCGACCGACGGACGATCAAGCGATTCTACAAGCTGGCATCTGAACTCAGTCAAGATGAGTTCTAAAAACCCACCACACCCAATAAATTATAAAATAATGTTCAGCTTTATTTGAGCTGATCTGTAAGTTGCCAAGAGAATATAGCGTGCATGCATGCAGATATAATTATGATAGCTGACAGCACAGTATACAGTGTTACTATGTTTTTGCTTACTTCAGGCAAAGATAATCCTCGTTCAGCATGTTGCACGTAGAGGCCAAACGTTTGAAGTTTCGAGATGTACGCCTGATCACGTAAGACTGATGCGGCCTGGGGCCGGTTTACATGTCTGTGGCATGTGTGAACTCACTAGTATGCCACCGATTGGTTCATTCGCATGTTTTTTCATTACAAATCTTCGCAGCAAATGTTGTCTGTGCCACCCAATGCAAGGATGTTGGAAACAGAAAAAAACAATGATGTGTTAAGACTTCAATGAAAAAAATGTCTTGCCCAAACAAACAATTTCAAGCTACTTGCCCAGGGGAGGTGGGGGCGAATTTTGGTTGCCCCGGGCAACGCGGGTTGTCGCCCCTGCCGATTGCCGCACGCAAAAAGAACACGTTGCTGTGAATTCATTTACGCGTTCCATGAGGCAAAAGCCCGTGCCTATTATTTTTGATTGACAACATTGACAACAAACGTAAACCAGGAACATTTTCACAACGCGTTTGTTAAATTGACAACAGCGCGTGCGCCGCAGGCTCCATGACCGTAAATAACTTTGCAATAGCAATCTTTCCATATGAAATCAAACAATCCAATCACATGTATCAGCCCCCTTACGGTACGAAAACAATAAGGAGCATGCAGACAGAACACTTACCCACATAAGCTGTTTACACAAAGGGGTAGGCAAGGCCGGGCATGTTCACGATCGGCCATTTCTTGGAATCCGCTTCAATTCTCCAGTACCAGCCAGCAACAATGAGCACAGCACAATCAGCCTACAAAATACAAATTGACAGTTGTACACATCCATCTAACAGAGATTATCGTTATCCACCACTTGGCCATTGAACAGCAACCAGCAGCGTAGGCTACGTACCCCGCACCTTTGTTCGCAATTGTGCATGTATCAACAAGTACTGTCGCATCCAATGTATCCAGGTCCATCAGGGTCCGAAATAAGCATGTCATCTACTCCAGAGCACTGGTAAGGCCATACTAACTATCTGTTTGTTTGCTCCGCCACCCACCGGACCCAGCCAAACAAGCAACTCAAAAAAAAATTATCGATCTTTTTTTTATCCAAATTGTATCACTGTTAGCACCATTATATAAATCTGTAGGCACTAGCAGTACATTATATTACCAAGCACAAAACACAACACACTAAAGGGTGCACTAGCGCATTATATGACCAAGCAAAAAAACATTCACATCAAGGGTACTCCAACACAACCAGGGGTCGAAATATATTTTTACTTATGGTCTCCATTTGGGAACCAGGTATTGAAATCTGGCTATCCCCCCCAACGCTCTGTATCGCCATTCTTTGGATATAATTTTCAACAAATGTTGGTACCACCATCTAAATATGCAATAATAGCACTTGAAATTGTATGTAATTATTATACAATCATAATCATATATTCAAGATACGCACAGACAAGTACACTGCAGACGTATGTCTGGTTAGCTTCATACAAGTAACACATCACATTATGATCAACATCGCTACGCTTGCCTTGCAATATGCTCAAACAACCACTACTCCGCTTTTGACGACATTTTTGTTACCTATCACGCGGCGGATACCATCATGAAATGTGGATCCCACACACAAGAATAGACTACCCGCTGATCATCGGGATACACCACTTTCGACCGGCCTGCAACCACACCCGAGCGCTGTAGAGCACACCGGCCAAATTTGTAAAAAACCCTCAAAAACCCGGCCTACCAACCCTACCTACCTACCCAAACTTTTCGTCTGGTCGGGTTGAGGGCAACCAAGATTTTTTAATTGTCAGCTAAACTAATAACATTCACAGGCCTAGACCCCAAATTAATGGGTTTACTAATAGGGTATGGGTGTATACAATAGAAATAAAATCGTTCTTCAGCCAGCCCAAACTGTCTGCATTTCCCAATACCTATAGTAAACCCCATGTAAATTGGTCTTACACGACATGACTCTATCAATATTAACACACGATACCGTACTGGAGTTCCTGTGATCATTCTTGTGAAATCACGATGACTGGCGCATCAATAAGCGTAGTTACTGGTGTCCTCTCAAACTTCAGAAGCAATATCATCGATTGTGATACCACGTCAGCTCAGCCCTTCATTTCCAGCACCGCCAGCAACTTGAAAGGCCCGCTTACCCATCATAAAAGCGAAACAACAACCGCTCATTAACCAAACATCTTCAAGTCATGTTTAGATATCACTTACCACAGATTTTTCAAAACATCACCGACGAAACTGGAACAGCGAATCCACACAGTCAGCAACGTTAAAACATACTAGTAAGCTAACACTTCAACACATCGTCAGTGGCGAGTTAACCATGTAAAAAAAACCCAATGAAACCTGGAAAACACACCTGGATAAATTTCATGATCTAACAAAAAACGCTTTTCATATGCTAAATCCCGTTCATTTTTGCAATTAGTCTATTCCAACTATGGCTTTCTGATTTATTCAGAATATACGAGCAATATAAACAGCTGTTAAAACATTTGCATGCAAACCGACGCTTGGCGTTACAGAACCTATACAGACCACAACTCATTCCCACACAAAATAAACAGAACAGTCTTTACTCCTCCCTCTTTCTCAACTCTCAATGACCGCTTGTCAATACCACCGACATTGTAGATAGATGCAGTAGAGTAACTTTCCAGAGTCAACGTGGCAATCACCGACAATGTTGATGGCATTTTTTCTTGCCCCATCGATGAAAGATGTGCTGCAACCACTCTGTGCACCTATTTAACCTGAAATTACAACAAGTTCAACTAACCAAATGTATTCTAACAAAGTTAGAAGATGTACACCACCACTATCTCTGCACGAAACAAAAGAAGGGCTCATGGATACCGTATCCACCAGGTCTAAACCTCCCATACCCTATTAACTAACCCCCGGAGACCACTAACAGCTATAGTGTAAACAAACGAATCATTACACATGCCATGTGGGCAGTCTGGTTCCCTTATTGTTACAAACG